GCAGGCCCAGTGGAGCGGTTCTTTCTTGGAATCAGCTGAGGGCTCCTCTGCAGCCAGCTGGGGGCTCTGGTCCCCACGGGCATGGCTGCAGCCATGGTAACAAAAAAGGCCCTTTAGAGTAGTCCCTTGGAGAAACTGAGGCACTGAACCAGGAAGTGGACTTCTTTGCCTTCAGATTTTACTTTTCCTCCCTTCTCTGTCCCCTGGGCCTGCTTGCCCTCCACAGACCAACGGGACATCCCATGTGTGGGCCACAAACGGGCCGGCTGCTGGGTCTAATCATAGCAGTGGGTGGGCCCCAGTTTAACCCAACACTAGCAATTGCCCAATTTAAGAAATACACCGATTCTCTGATTAAAGAACGCTGCCAAAGCATTCTCGAGGTAGGGCATGGCGATGGGAGGCACCCCTCTGCAGCGGCCGGCCTGTTGTGGCCCCAGCCCCAGCCTTGGGTAAGGCTGCTGACTCAAAGCCCAGCCCGATCCTCAGGGATGGGGACAAACCCAGGCTGTGGGCTGGGGGAGGGTGGGGGAGGGGGGCAGATAATGTGCAGCTGGGAAAGTGAGGCTGGATACGCCGTCTCCTGCGCTCCAACACCGACTCCCCGGGGCCTGGACAGCTCTGCTTCCTAAAGCCCCGTGAGAACGGGCTGTGCTGCCAGAGAATGGCCGCCGGCAGAGCCTGGTTCTCTCGGGGCCTGCCCCGCACACGCTGAGCCACTTCCAATAGGTGCGGGCAGAATGGATTCGTTGCCAGGTGCCCGCCGCCGGCCGCCATGGCCGGTTAAAAACACCAGGGCCATATTTCTGGTACCTCAGTGTACCCCCCACGGAGAAGTAAAATGTCAGTGGAGCAAATTACCGACTGAATGCATTGGAATCTATAAATATTAAATTGCTCTGGCTTTCACTTGCCCGTGTCCAATTAAAGCCCCGGTCGGCTCCAGGGACAGGCGGCTGGTTAGTGCGAGCTGGGCTGGAGAGGCAAGTGTCCCCAAAGGGCAGGCTGAGGCTGACTCTGTGGGCTGTGGTCGTGGGGGGTGGCCCTGGCTGGAGAAGAAGCAGCGGGTGCAAAGAGCAGGAGGTGGAAAACCCAGATGCAACTGGAACCCAGGATGGGGTTGCTCTGATTTTCTATTTGCAGCTCTGTGGGTGGGGGTGGGGGTGTGCAGGGAGCTATGTGTTGCATTTGTTACCCCAGCCCATCCCTCCAGGGACTGGACCCCTCAGAGCAGGTATTGGAACCCCCCCACCCCAGGCTGCAGGACTGGAATTGGGGGGTGGGGCTGCCACCTCCCCAGGCAGCAGGGCTGGAGTTGGGCCACTGGCCCCCTGGGCAGCCAGCTGTCCTCCTCCTGTCCTGCTGCTGCCCCTGCCCCAGGCTCCTCCCCGACACAGGCCCCGCCTCTGTGTGACGCCCACGGCTTGGTTGGTTTGTGTTGGTTTGGCGTCTGTACGCTGCCTGGGAGCGTGTTTTCACACCATCAGTTACGGTCGGACTCCTGGCAGATGGGGGCAGCGTTTCCTGCCTCTTTGGGATCGTTTAGGATTTATCGACTGCTTCCCTGTGCCAAGACCCTGTGCGATGTTCTTTAAATACACTGCTCGTTGATCTTTACACAGTGGGGTGAGGTGGGAACTGCAGGACGTCCACCCCGTGGCCCAGAGGGGAGAAGGGACTTGCTTGGGGTCCCGTGGAGAAGGTGTGTGCAGACCCAGCGGAGTTCCGCGGCTGATCAGGGGCTGGGCCCGATCTCATCCGAGGCTTTCCTGAGCCTCTGCCTGGTCCTGGGTCCTCCTGTGCCCTCTGAGTGGGAGCTGCCCCTCCTGCGGGCGGTGGCCACGCCAGCTCTTTCTCTTGCAGGCATCCCCACCCTCATCGTGCTGGACCCGCAGGGGGAGGTGATCACGCGGCAGGGGCGGGTGGAGGTGCTGAACGACGAGGACTGCAGGGAGTTCCCGTGGCACCCCAAGCCCGTGCTGGAACTGTCCGACTCCAACGCCGTGCAGCTCAACGAGGGCCCCTGCCTCGTCCTTTTTGTAGGTATGAAGCTCAGCGGGGGGCCCAGGGCGGGCGGGACCGACCCACCTCAAGTGGGAGATGCCTGTCCCTACAGCTTCTTTCTGTCACAGAACAATGCGGAGCCTGGGCCTTTGTCTCTCCCTACAGCCTTGCTTTTGACCCCAATGATTTATTCATGGCTCTCCCCCTGTGGGAGGGGTTCTGGGAGCTGCCGCTGTGCTTTCCTTCCAGCTGGGAAGCATAGGTCAGGCCCTGGGCCCCCATGAACAGGCCCATTGTTGGAAGGAGGTGGGGCTGCAACGAGGCAGCTGCCGGGCTCAGGCTCCCCCCCGCCCTCGCCCTCGGGCTGCTGCTGCTGCTGGTCACCTGTGTTCTGGCCAAATGGCCGGGGCTGCTGGGGCTCTCCCAGCCTCAGGTGGCGTCTCTGTGGCCAACCGCCCCTCTCGGTCTCCCCTGTGTGGCTCACTCTGGCGCTGGGTGGGTGGCTGCTGTGAGAAGCAGGAGGGCACAGGAAGATGGACTTGGCTCCCTGCAGCCCCGTGAGGTGACTGATGCCTTTTGCTAACAGAGCAACTGCTGCCCAAGACCCACCTCAGCCTCTGCCTGGGGCCTCGCCGCTCAGCTCCAAGTAACTTTGGTGCTAGGAGCATGGCTGAGAGGCCGCCATGCCCACTCAGTGAGGTGGGTTTGGGGATGTGTACAACTCCCACCCCTGTTCTCTGGAGGTCTGGTTTGGAGACCCCCCCCCCGCCCCCCGGGAAGGGGGCCACACGCAGACTCGGGAATTCTTGAGCACACCCACTGCAGGCTGGTCCTGTGCTTTGAGGACAGAGGCTGTCTGTCTGGGGAAAGATGGCCTGGGGGCTTTCCCCGCCTGCTACAGGCTCCCACACCTTTGTCCCGGGGCTGGGAAACAATTCTGAGCTGAGGGACAACTGGGAACCTCACTGGCCACCTGCAGATGTGGAAAGAGAGTCCCAGAGAAGCCAGGCGAGTCCAGCATCACAGCGAATTAGACGTGGGTCTATAGCAGAGGTTCTCAACCTGTGGGTCGCGCGACTCCTTTGGGGGTCGAACGACCCTTTCACTGGGGTCGCCTAAGACCATCGGAAAACACATATATAATTACATATTGTTTTTGTGATTAATCACTATGCTTTAATTATGTTCAATTTGTAGCAATGAAATTGGGGGTCACCACAACATGAGGAACTGTATTAAAGGGTCGCGGCATTAGGAAGGTTGAGAACCACTGATCTAGAGAGTCCCACGGGATCTGCGCGCTGCAGGCCTCTCGAGCTGTGTGGCATTTCTGGGTGAAAGTCGCCTGCTGGCACCTGCTGCCCCTACCCCCCCAGCTCTGCAACTCGGGGTGTCACTGTTGTTCTCAGTTACAGGGCTCAGCGGGCGTGAGCCCAGGACCCCACTGTGTGGCTGCTCTTGGAGGCAAGGGACGCCCCACAGGGGCTCTGGGAGCCTCGCTGGGTGGTCTCCGTGCAGCAGCCTGTCCCCTCCCAGGTGAGCCGGGCTGGTCGCTCTGCCTCCCCGTGGCCACCAAAGCTGCTGGCCAGACCACAGCCCCACCCACCACCACCACCTCTGCCATTTTCATTAGGAAGTCAGTGATCCGAGTCCCGGCATCTCATTCTGTGACTGAGAGAGACTCTACCGGGGACCTCCAGTCCTGGCTGAGGGGAAGCTTAGCTCCCAAGGTGGGTTTGTGAAGAACTGAGTGGAACGTATCACTTTTGCTTGGGGCGTTAGTGCTACTCGGTGAGGTGAGCTGTTCCTGGGAGCGCAGTGCAGGAGGGCACTGTGTGAGCAGGAGGCCTCCCTCCTGCACCAGGAGGCAAGGCCTGTGTCCCCAGGGAATCGCTTCCACTCAGGGGCTGCCCAGGTGGGCCGTTCAGCCCTGGATGCAGGCGTCCTCAGGGGGCACCACTCGCTGACAAGCCCTGTGCTTCATGTCTTTCTCTCCCCATCACAGATTCTGAGGATGATGGGGAGTCCGAGGCGGCCAAGCAGCTGATCCAGCCCATAGCTGAGAAGATCATCGCCAAGTACAAAGCCAAAGAGGAGGAGGCGCCGCTTCTGTTCTTCGTGGCGGGGGAGGTGAGTGCCGCCTGGGCCAGACCAGGGGCCGACCTTTAGAACTTGAGTGATGGGCTTTGGGGGATGTTGAAGGGGGCCCCGGGGTCTGGGGTGACGGGACTTCTGGACGAGCTCACAGACAGGTGAGGCGCAAAAAGGTGTGTCGTGGAAAACCACCTCCCGCCTGGCTGCCTCCTCCTTCCTTCTCCCTCGCTCAGTGGCCTCTGAGCTGCAGGGAGCCCTCCCAGGGCAGAGCCCTCTCTGCAGCCACCAAGATCGAGGTCCACACTCCCTCCCTTGGGGCTGGGTCGGAACCAGGCCCTTGCTGCTTTACAGACTGTCTGCCAGGTCAGCCCCGCCTCACCGGCCCTCCAGTGAGCATTTCCCAGGACAGGGATCCCGCCGCGGGCCACGCTCTGACCTGAAGTCCCAGCCAGCCAGGGAGGGTGCTCGGGTTGGAAACTGCCCACACCCCCCTCTCTCAAGGCCGGTCTCATGAAGTTGGGCTGGACGGAGCAGAGGACTTTCCACAGGGTGAGGAGGCAGGGCCCTTCACTGGGCCACCTCCAGCAGGCGCCTGCCTCCTCCTGAGATACAGGAGACTCCGCCCTGCAGGCTGGGAGTCTGCAAGATGGGGTCAGCGCAGGCGCCCTACCTTGGTTCCTCTCCTCAGGAGCCATCTCTGCCCATGCTCCACCGCCTCCCCAATCCAGCCGGGCACTGGCCACACGCCCGTTATTGACAGACACTTTTTGAAGCCCCGGGGCCTCCTTCCGCCCATCGGTACCCCCAGTTGGTCAGAGCCCATGCTTACTTCAGGCTGTATTTGGATCCCAGGAGAGGCAGCAGTGGCCAGACACCCTGAGCCAGCACCCATTCATCACCCCCTCAATAGCCTCCCCTGCTAAGCCCTGCCGGGCCCCTGCCGGCAGCTGAAGTTCTCCTGCTCCGCCGTGGGGTGGAGGGGACAAAGCAGGTTCACAGGCCCTGCCTCGGGGCTACACGAGCCCACTCCACACAAAGCACAAATGCAGGCTGCTCCGAATTCATTAAACTCTGACCCCGTCTCGGAGGGAAAGATGGGTGTAGAACAGAAAGGGCTGGGCTGGGTGGGGGTGGGGCCGGAGGGCTCCAGGAGCTGCTGTAGAAATGTGGCTGAAAGGGGACGTTTGTGGGTTTTCTACATACCAGGCACCAAGCCAAGTGCTTCCCCTGTTCGGTCCCATTTGTCCCCCCTCTCTGGCTCGATAGAATCATTGCTGCTTCACAGATGAGGAGGGCGAGGCTTGGAGAGGGTGAGATGCCCCGGTCTGGCCGGCTGGGCTGAGCGCCGGCCGCTCTCACGCCTCACCCAGCGCCGTGTGACCTGGTATTAAACCCACTTTACGGGGCAGGAGACCTGGGCTCAGGGAAGTGACTGGCCAGAGTCACACATTAAGTAGGTCGCAGAGAGGAGTGAGCGTGAGGTTGGTGTGACTTCAGAAGCAGTGCCCCGCTCCTTTGTCCTGTGGCCCAGCAGGTGGACTGGCCCACGAGGGAAGGATGCTGGGGCCAGAGAGCTGGACGGAGGGGCTTGGTCATCCACTGCTCTAGTTCCCTGCCTGGCCGCCCCGTCCTTCCTGTGCGTTTCACCTGAGCTCCTGGCCTCGGCAGCTCCCTTGGTCCGGTTTCTGTCTGCATGCTCAGAAGCAAGGCAGCATGGGAGGATGGGCACAAGGTGCTGGGTCAACGCCGGCGTTGACCCAGCACCTCTGAGCTCAGGGTTCCGGCCTCTCACATTCCAACCAGGGCTAAGGGGGACCCCTTGTTTGTCTCCATCCTGTCCACACGGGCAGGCAAAAGCCATCCCTTCTGAAGCCTTAATAATCATTAAAGTTCATCTCTCTGGGGAGGGGAGGCAATGGAACTCCGTGTTCAGCAGCTGTCCAGGTATCTCTCTCTGTTAATCGTGAGGATTGTTCAGTTACCCACGTGGAGGGCCTGAACCGGGTAGACAGTGCCAGAGATGCTGAGTCACCGAGCAATTCCGGGGTTGGGGCAAGAGATGGTTACCAGTAATCTTCCTAACGGTGTGCCCTTTGAGGAAGGAATTCTTTTGGTCTCAGACACCGGTGAGCTGTAAGTTTCATGCCTCTAGCTCACCAGCATAAGGCCAGGAATACCCCACGCCCTTTCTCGGCAGGGTGACTCCGGTCTTCACTCCGTGTAGAATACTAGACTGTACATTGTATAGTGAGACCGCCGCGGGATGGGTCCGTAGGGTTCGTTTTCTGTTACCTGCCAAATGAGGGTCGGCAGCGTGAAAGGTAATTCCAGATGGTTACCTTGCAAGTCTGGCTCCTGGTCTTTGGATTTCTGTGTTTGTCTTTATACCTAATAAGGCTGCATCTGATGTCAGGAAAATTCTCCTGGACAGTCCCTGGGAATGTGTGGGAAAGGGTCAGCTTCCTGCTCAGATAAGTACAGCAGCTCGTGTCAACGTCAGTAGTGTCTCTGTATCCCTGTCTTCCCTCCTGGTTCTGCGATGCCTGCCCCCTGAAACACAGGCAGGGCTGGAGCCCAGATTGGCCTCGGCACAGTGGGGCCGCAAATGATTGAGAGTTGACTGCAAAAGCAAGCAATCAAAGGACATCACATATTTTTTTTTGCAAAGCAGAGGCTTTCGTGCTAATAAAGAAGACTTGCCTGGGGGCTTGGGGTGATGCAGAGAGAATTTTCGGAACCAGCCTCCCCCTCTGCAAGGCAGGGCAGAGCCCACTGCTCCACACTCTGAGAGCCCGTCTTTCATGGAGGAGGCCCGCTCTTCAGGGTGATGATGGAGTGGGTCCATCCCACGCCATCTGGGGAACCTGGGCCCAGGGGACTCTCCGCTCTCTTGAAAACTTACGGGCTGTCTCTCCCTTCTGGTGACTTCCAGGATGACATGACCGACTCCCTGCGAGATTACACCAACCTGCCCGAGGCCGCCCCCTTGCTCACCATCCTGGACATGTCAGCCCGGGCCAAGTACGTGATGGACGTGGAGGAGATCACCCCTGCCATTGTGGAGGCCTTTGTGAATGACTTCCTAGCAGAAAAGCTCAAACCAGAGCCCATCTAGTGGGGCTCCGGCCTCGTGAGACATTATTTAAAACTCAGTCTTCTCCTCCTTCTCCTCTTCCCCTTCCTTCCCTCTGCCCATGGACTTTCCCAGCGTGTCCTGAATCACACAACCCAAGTGTCCAACCTCTCTGTGGTGCCTTGTTTTCTGCACTAACTCCTCAGCCAGCACCCTGGGTGCGCATCCTCTCAGCAGCAGAAGAACCACCATGTTTGGAGACTCTGCTTGGGATTCTCGGGGTTCCCGTAACCCGGCCAGGGCTGGGGCTGCGGCACCCCCTGTCACCAGGTTCCGTACCGAGTGAGCCTGCAGGGACGGTGCTCGGTGCTCTGGCTCACACAGTTCAGCGACACAGGTGGGGCAGGGACAGGGCCACCGCCTCGTCAGGCCTTAGCTGAGAGCTTCTGGTGAGAAAGCCTTTCTAGATGACTCTGTCTCGGTCTAGGGAAAACTAGCTTGTCCGTTGGTTCTTGGGCAATTGATCTCGGATCTCAAAGGAAGCTTGTGTTCTTTTCTGGTGAGAAGAAAAAAAAATAGCTACAGTCATGATTCATGTAGTAATTGCTTCATTTGATTGGGCTCCTACCATGGGAGAAGAGCTCTCATTCCTTCCTTATCTTTCTTCCTTGATCTTGACCTTCTCTAAGTTTCTGCCTTCTCATATGAACAGCCCCCACTAGCTTGGAATTTTGTTAATAAATTCTTCCCCCTTGGACTTCTTCCCAAGGAGATGCACTTGGCCCTGGTTCTTAGAGGAGCACCACCTCCCAGTGCAGACCGCTGACTCAGCCCGGCTCTGGGCCTGGGACCACGGAGCTCTGTTGAGGTGCCCATGCCCACCTCTGGTTACCCCTGTCATTCCCTTTTCTTTTCAGAGCAGAACTAAAAGGAGACAAATTACCAGAAGCATTGCTTTCCCCTAAGAACCTGCAGGAAGAGCTGTGCCCCAGGGTGGGAGTGAGGGCAGAGGACATGGCGATGAAGAGCAGGCCTTGGACCCACTTGGCTAGACCCTGGTAGTCGGCTCCTTATTTGGGCTGAACTGACCACTAAAAGGAGAATAACATCTGTGTTCTTGGGATTTGTGACGGAGGGTTTGCCTGGGGACTTGCAGGGTTTTAGCCTCTTTCAACCAGATGCCAGAGTCCTTAAAGCAATCCCAGACCTTCCCCGTGGCCCCACTCATGGCACTCTGCCAGCCAAGACCATGGATTTGGAAAACCCAGCCCCCAATTAGCTGTAACACCACTGCTCCTTGCCAAATTGGATTGTTGATTTGTAGTTCAGAGGTACAAAATTAGTTGGTAACGAGACTGTTACTCGATGTCACCAGCCTGAAATGCAGTCACCTAGTAAGCAATAAAGCAGGCATCTCTGGACGTTACCAACCACTCGGCCATTCCTGTCCTTAATAACAAACATCTTTTTGCTTGTGGTGCTGTGCTTGTAGGAGGTGGGCAGGGGGATGGGACATAGGAGAGCCTCTCAATTTTCATTGGACACCTGGTGGCTACGTTTCAGAATTGTCGAGAACCCCGAGACCCAATGTGGTCATCTGTCAAATCCTTCGGAAGCCGGAAAGCTCGTTCGGATTAGAGCACTAGAGGCAGCTCCCTGCTGGAGGCCTGGCTGCCATCTCTCTTGGTTTGACTCGCCTTTGCACGCGGTGGATTCTCAGAGTAGACATCCTTGTGGACATGTGTGCTCATTCCCTCCCTGTAGGGGAGCAGATGCCCTGAAGCTGGAGAAGTCCAGGTTGGGAAACACAAGGAATCCGGCCCGTGTCTCCCTGTGATGGATGAGGCAGTAGTTGGAGATCCTCCCACCTAGCTCTGTCTTAGGGCCGGGGTTTCTCTGGGAACCCTGTCAGTGTCTCCCTTGGGGGGTGGGATGGGGGTGGGGACAAGTTGAGTTTCACCTCCTTTGGAAGATGGGTAAGATTCCTGTCCGTACCCGGTATCGTGATGACCTTGGGAGAAAGGTGGTCTCGTAGCAGCTACTTATCTTCTGGGGTGGAAGGAACAACGTCCAGTGAAGAGTCCCTGTGAGTCACTGCAGCAGAAAAAAATAGGTCATCTGTGGTCCTATGTCCCGTACAGGGCTGACTGAACTACTTGCCACTAAAGTCAACTAGCTCCTTGGCGCCAGAATCCCCTTTAGAGAGGGGGTGCAGGTTCAGATCGGTGCGAAGCTTCACTACAAAGGCGCATTAGGGTTATAGAATGGCGACTTTGGTGGGCAATGCTGGGGGAGCAAGACAGTGAAACATCCCTGTCCTGATAGCGCAAGCGATCTTAAAGGTTATTGGTGCAGACGAAGTGGGTGGCTTCTTAATTTCCACTAAGCACCTCCAAAATACCTTAAAATTCTTGTCGCTAATTGGAAGCAGGTTAAAACACCAGCTGTCGCGTATTCAGGGGTTTCCGACAGCAGCTAAGGAAACCATGCCCTGCAGCTTGAGGCAGGATGGTGGTTGTAAAAATGCCACCCCCGGGTTCCAGATTGTGCTCACCACAATGACTTCCAGATTCGATTCTATCCGTTTTCACAGCAGAAATGAGGGTGTGTTTTTTTTTTTGGTTTTTTTAAATCTGTCCCCAACAATAAAGATCTGCTTCTTCTAGATTGGTATTACAATGGGCAGTTGCAGATGCCAGAGGGTGACTGAACACCAGCTTCCTTTGTCTCCCCCCTCGCCCCCCCGCCACACACACACACACTCACACACTTGAAATCAATGGCGCTCACTTACCCGAGCACTGGGAGCCAGTACTGCTTTTTTGGCATCAGCCAAGCTTCAAGCGGTAATTTTCAGCCAGACTTTGTTTTTTCCTGTTGCCTAATTAAAGACACCGAAAAGCTGTTCTCTCCTGCTGCCTTTTTGCAGGGCAGCAGAAAGAATTCTGCAATGATGTAAAGACTAGGATATGGTCCAGGGACAGATCTGCCGGGTCTAATAAGCTGTTGCTCTGTCACCTGAGAAGAAAGCCACACGTGTACGCGTGGGCGTGCGAAAGGCTGTACACTT